GCGGCGCCCACGGAGAGCGCGTGCGGGCCTGGGAAGCCCACGCTGGTTTGCTCGAGCGCGGTGGGGAGCTGGTCGTACTCGCAGCAGAGGGGTCAGAGGGTGTGCTCTGGGGAGGGCCCGCCCAAGACGGACCTCATGGCCTTCAGTCCAAGTTTATCTGACTCTAGGGATAGAGAAGACCAGTTGGAGAAGACTGGAGATTCCTTTTTAAAGGTTAGTGTACAATACCTTTTGTTCACTCTGAGTTTCAGGTTATTTGCACTTTATAATTTTACTTCTGAGAATCAAACTTCTCTGCATTTTCTTTACTTCTGTTTAAGCGTTAATCTTCCATAAAATATTTTGAAGGAGGCTCCTGTGGAGCATGTTTTTTAGTTCTATTTATTCTTTAGGCAGAGGTAAAGAATTTCAGAATCACACAGCCCAGGGATTCAAGACCAAAGCTCAGCAACATAGGAAGAAAGTGCATCAAAACAGTGTATATTGGCTAATTTTATGTTTCATCATTCAGCATATAGATCTTGTAAATTCAGTTTCCAACATGTTCTGTGTTCCCTTTTTTCACCTTATTTTCTGTGATATTCCCTTTTGAAGTAAACATTTTAATATAATTTATCTACAGTACATACACAAACATAGAGAAATGGAACATCTACATCAATTGTTAGAACACAGAAACCCTTCATTGCCACCCCTTAAACACCTTACATGTACCTTCCAAATCATTTCCTCATTATTTTTTCAGAAATGTAACTTTTGATGTTTATAGGTGTTGCTAGCTGTATTGTTCCCTGAATTTTTTCTAAATAGAATTGCACAAAATGTGTTGTGAATGCATGTGTGTCCTTTGTATTTCATAGTTTCTGAAATAATCTACATTCGTATATGTAGATGTAGGTCATTGAATTAAATTTCTTCTATTATTTTACGAATATGCTGAATTATTTATCCTATAGTTGAAGAGATTTCATTGTCTTTATTTTGAACAAATGTGTTCATAAATATATTGCACATATCTTTGGGCTCTCTTCTATACAAATTTCTCCTAAGTAGTGATGTAGGAAGCGGAATAATAAGTCACAGACTATGAGTTTGTCTTTATCTTCAGTTGATAATGACAGCAATTTTCCAAAGTGTTTTTAATGTTTACCCTCTACCTTCAGTGTGTTGTGAATTCCTTCTCTTTTATATGATGTAGAAATTGGTCAGATTATTTTAATGGTATCCTCTCTACTGGGTGTGTCTTGTTTTTTCATTTTGAATTCATTTCATGTTTCCTGAATTTCTAATGAGGCAATAATATTTGTTTGATTATTGACCATTTTAATATTATATTTTGTTTAATAGGTGTTCAAGTTTCCTACCTCTTTCCTGTGGTGTTGTTTTTATGTTTTATTTTCTTCCATGGAATTTTCTTCATTATTCAGTTATTTTCTTACATCTTTAAAAATCTTTTAAATATCCTGGACATAAACTTTTTTGATTTCATGCCTTTCTACTCAGTGGCTTTTTTTTTTAATTGTGCCTTTAGGTGAAAAGAAATTCGTAATTTTATTTGAATTCAATGTATTAGTCTTTCCTTTTTTAATCGATCTGATGAAAAACATTTTCTGTGATATCTTTTGTTTAAGTTTGGAAACTATATATAAATCCATTTGGAAATTTTTCCTTGTGTGTGAGACAGGGATCAAGATTTATTTTTGGGCCAGGGATTTAGTTCGATTCCCTGTACCAAAAACAAAAAACAAACAAATAAACAAAGGAAAACAAAAAACAAACAAAAACCCCCACAAAAAACAAAATTTATTTTCCCCAAAATTGTTTATCTAGGGCTCATAAAATGAGATTGAAAGTGTTGCAGTTATTTTATTTTTTGTGGACAGACTTTGAGGACAATTCGTGTTGAATTTTTTAAAAATGCATGGCTAGAATTCTCCAGCGAGTCATGTGTGTGTGCACTTGTGTGTGTGTGTGTGTGTGTGTGTGTGTGTGTGTTTGACTACTGATTTGTTCTTTTCAGTGGTTATAGATTTGTTCGGATTTTTTTTCTTAAAAATTCATAGATTGTATGATAAGGTTTGATTTTAGTAATTTGTCCATTTTTCTCCATTATCTGATATGTTGAAATATATTTTTCATAATAACCTTATGTTGTCATCTGCTGTTTGGTCTGTGGAGTTCGGTTTGGGATCTCAGACTGGGAGGGTAAGGCGAGGAATCACCAGGCAGACTCCAGGGAAGTTTCCGGAATGCTTCCACTTTATTTAGGAAATGTACAGGCTTATATAGCTTACGTGTGGACAACCATGGGGGAGGAGCATGGGAGGAGCATTTATCTTATTAGCTAGACATATGGTGGGGTGATTTTTGTTTGGTGAGGCTAAGGAATCATGGACTAGGGGTGGAGGTGTAACCTGTTAGACCCAGCCTCTATGCACGTAGGGGAGCTTGCTCAGCCTTAGCATGGTCTCTGAGCTTGCTCAGGAGACAGGAGTACAGTGCACCTGGCCCAGCCAGGCTTGAACTTCTCCCATAACTATATATATATATAT